TTCAGTTAAGTGTGTCGTTCTGTTTGAAAAATGTTTAAATTAGTAATTAGAAAGTTTAAATTAGTTTAAATTAGAAATTTAAAAAGTTTAAATTAGTTTAAATTAGAAATTTAATTTAGTAATCAAATGTAAAATGACACTGCATGGTTTATCATAGTTAGATTAATGCTTATTATAGTTTAAGTTATTCATTCAAGAGCTGCGAATGATTTTTCTCTGCCTTGTTGTTTGGTTCGCATTACTGGCTCAATCGTCACATGTTTATTAGACTACTGCCCCTTTAAGACCGAGTGCGTGCGGCTCTAATAGATGACTGACGCACCATCATTTTCTCCCAACTATTTATGTCCATTTAAGACATAAACTGTGTTTAAATGAATCTCAGAGCAGGTCATTTTATATTTTATGTATATTTGATAGTTTAGCTGCGCAAATGAATCCCAAAATGAGGCTATAGCCTATTTTTCTTGTCTCGTTGCAGTGCATTTCGGAGCGCCTTGTGAACTCTTGCGCAGACTTTTGTGCTTTTAATAGCTCTTTTAATGATTGAATGCGTCCGCAGTTTAGCAACAGTACAGACTGCATTTTACAACAATCACCAATCGTGCTGATTCTGACGGTACGTTTGGGTTTTAGGAAGAAATGACAGCGCAACGCAGTGAAGGGAAGGAAGTTGCACGTTAGACAGAATGCGTCTGTAATGGTTTCATCTCAAATATCTTCTTTTTATAATCTTTGAAAGCGGAAATCTAAAATACTATTAGAATAATATCCCAGATCTAAAGTGTAACCATGTTCTGTCCTCAATGTCACTCATTAAGCAGGGCTGTCGTGTTGTCCGCGCTGTGGCTCCGGGTGAGAGATCGCTCACTTCTGGACTGCGAATACCAAAATTGCATCACAGACAAATTGTTTAATATTATTATTATATTTAGAAATGGTTGATATTCAGCGCCGTTGCCCGTTTAATACCGGGTTTACGAAGCGAACGTACAAGCCATAGTGTGACACGGGTAAACCAATGGTGTAAACATAATGACGCCACGGGTTTTTATTTAAAAGAAAGAACGTATGTAGACATAAGCAACTTTCACAATACTAACTAAAATATAATTAATATTATTTTATTGAATAAATTAGTCGTTTGAACTGAAGAGTAAAAATAAAAAAATAAAAAAAATAAAAAAATCAATCGGTCTGAACACAAGTTACAACCGGCAAAGTCGGTCGGACTAAAAGGAAAAAAAAAATAAAAAATTGAGTCGGCCCTAAATTGACAGGGTCAGTCGGGTTACGGCAAACAAGAATATTTTTAAGGGTGACAGGAAAGGTGGTCCACACTGCGAGTTTTAATTGCTGGTGCTGCTGCGTCGCATGCATACTTCCGGGTGAGTGTACCCCTCAGCGGCGTTCCGTTTTCAAAATGGCTGCCAGGTGAATAAGGCGAATAGGCCCCTGTGGCATGGAATAAGCTTTTGCCGTTTATGCATCCCTCTTCCCGGGCCCCGGGCCCCGGTCCCCAAACACCACACCACCGCAAATAGAATCTAATTCTGTGGGAAACACTGAATTATGTAAATCATATAAAAAAAAAACTCTGTTCTCTGTTTAAGTAATCCATATGAAAGCAACGAGAGGTCGAGTTTTTCGAGCGCCTTCTCATTAACTCTAATGTGACCACACCCACGTGCGCATAAGCGACTCACGTACAAATAGTCCATGTGAAGGAACGCAGACCTGTAAACGCCCTCATTCTGTAGAGATGCTTTTATTGTTGCAATTGAAGTTTTCATAATCGCTAAATTTGCAACATTAATATGGTTAATTTCCTTTTTTTCCCTTATTTTTATTTATTTTTTGGTTTATTAATGTGAAGCTGCTTTAAAACATCTGTACAAAGCGCTAAATAAATAAATGTGACTCAAAATGCGACTTGTTGAATTGCTTTTAGCAGTATGGCATACAAATATTTCTCAACTCAGGTGACAGAAGTTCAGTAGAGAAATAGGCTGGCACTATTAAGCCAGATCTAATAACGTCACAGGAGGCGAGCTGGCTGGAGTCGGCTGTCCTCTCAGTGTACTGACATGGAGATGCAATGATGTTTTGTTTGTAAGAATAAACCCAGTGAAGCAGCTTTAGGACACTACACCTTATCCATGTCTAAAACATCACTGAACAGCCCACCATGAAATACTAAAGAATATTTTGATTATTTGAATGGCAGATTTTATAAATATTGTGGCAAAGGTGATGCCATGAGTATCTACAAAAAGCTATTTTGTACTTGTCAAGAACCTATCATTAAGTGTGTTTGTAACATGCACCCTCATAATGCAATTATAAGGGAATTTTGGCAATATTGCAATTAAAGGGTTAGTTCACCCAAAAATGAAAATTAAGTCGTTAATTACTCACCCCCATGCTGTACCAACCCCGTAAGACCTTCGTTCGTCTTCGGAACACAAATAAAGATATTTTTGATTAAATTTGAGAGCTGTATAACTACCACATTGGCTCCTAAGGGACTGCCTCTTGACGGCCCAGAAAGTCAATGAAGAAAATGTTTAAATATCCCAAGTGACTACCGTGGCTCAACTATATGTTTATCAAGCGACGCGAATACTTTTTGTGCGAAAAAACAAACAAAAATAACGAGTTTATTTGACTATTCCTTTTCTTCCTTGTAGGCCAGAAACGAGATTTCCTTAGATTTCCTCGACGCATGCGCGAGAATTGCGATCTGAAGTAGTGTAAGCTGGTGTAAGCAGATCGCAATTCTCGCGCATGCGTCGAGGAAATCTAAGGAAATCTCGTTTCTGGCCTACAAGGAAGAAAAGAAATAGTCGAATAAACTCGTTATTTTTGTTTGTTTTTTGGTAAAAAAAACAATAAAACATGGTACTGTATTATTACCTGGTCTCCCCTGTTTATTGTCACAGCTCATACAATAAAGCAAACACCCATGATAAACTTTGCTTTTCTATCTAACGTTAGTAATTGCTGACTCTTTATTCCAACGCTGAGCGAAGCGAACTCTCTGCTTCTCGTCACGGTGCGTCTCAGGTGATTGTTATCACTCTGCCCAAGTAGCAGTGCTTCCCCTTCAGAAAATATAGTATTTATACGGTCAAAAGATGTCTGTCTCATATGGCCTTGATATTTGCACACTCTGTGACTATACAAAACACAACATGTAAATAGGAAAACGTTTGCGTTATTTTGTCACTCATTTGGATTAGTATGAAAGCTGCAACCATTCACATCCAGTCTTTGTGCTAAGCTAGGCTAGCGGTGGGTGCGTCAAACAGACTTATAGCACGCACGGAGATGAAAAAGGTATGTATGGACTTATCTAACTCTGGGGGGTAAGGTGAATAGGCTAAAGTCCCAAAAAGTCGGAGTGTTCCTTTAAGAATTTAGACAACACAAGGCTTGATTTAAATTGTTCAATTAAATTGAAAAAAGTTGCACAAATAAATACAATACAATAAAGATACAAATAAAGAGAAAAGTTTTTGAATGGGTCTAAAACTAGTATTCATAGATAGAAACTGAATAAAGTAATCAAATGAAAAATAACACTGGATAGTCTTTTAGTCCTGAATAAATTAAATTAAACACATAGGCTATCAATCCAGATTCCTTTAACTTAAAGCTCTCTCTGGTTGTTTTGACGACAAAATTAATGACCGTCACATATGGTTGCTGTCACTCTGCACGGATCCTGTGTTCATTATACTGGCATGCGTTTTATGCTTATTAAAGACAAAACCGACTATGTTTAGGCTATTATATACTCACAAAGACCGAAATTGACACAGTTTTGTGTGTTAAAGCAATATAATCCGTGAAAAATAACTTTTGTTATTGGCCAGCTGTTCTTGAGGCGGATTTTCTATGAATGTGCGCAAAGTCATCCCAGACAGCGTGCAAGCACTGATAGTTTAAAATTGCTTGAATGTTAAACTGGTAAGGCTTAAAAAGACGTGCAAATGGTAAACTTCATTCACGATGCACTTTTGGCCCGATTGTGCAAGTGAATATTCCATTCATGTCATGTCATGAATATTCACAGCAGCGCCTGATGCTTGCCTTCCATAACACATTTTGAGAGAAGAGAAGACGTGGCACCCCTTAACACTCATGCTGTTTGTGAAATTGCGTCTGGCAAATAGTTATTGAAAGAATTATTTGATTTTATAATATGTGTGGATTACAATTGCGGGAATATCCTGTGGTATGGGGGGCGTGGTTCAGCGCTGTCTGCAGCGGGAGAGCGGGGGAGGAGTCGAGCGGGAAGTAAGCGGGTCAAGTGCAAATGATAAACACCTGTCTGTGATTGCAGTGATTGGCGTTGGGAGAGTATATAAGCGGCTCAGTGAGACGCTTCTTTTGAGAGAGTCTGGAGCTTGTGTGCAGACACCGGGAGCTGGAAAGCTGTGAACAGAGGAACTGTCCGAAACCCAAGGAAGCTGTGGATCAGCGGGAACGAGTCTGTGATATTATTTTGTTGATGTTACGTTGAAGCGCGCAGTCGCTGTGGAAAGAGTATTTTTATTTGATCTGTCTGAATAAAGCACACAAGCTCCAGTATTTGCCGACCCCTTTGCCTTCTTCCATCACATCGTCTGAACCTTACCACACTGGTGCCGAAACCCGGGATGGAAGAAGCAGCCGCCGCCAGGAATCCTCTGTCTTCGCCATTTGCGGAGATCATCCAGGGGCTCGCGGGCTTGCATCAGCAACACCAGGCAGCCCTGTTGAAGATGGAGGAGCAGCAGGAACGACGCTTCGACGCGCTCCTCCAGGAACAACGGGAGGCCCGCGAGCAGTTCCGGAGCTGGGTGGACCAGGGGGTCCGCTCCCCGCCCGCGGCCCCCGCCCTCCACAAGATGGGGCCGCTCGACGATCCGGAGGCCTTCCTGGACCTCTTTGAGAGGACGGCCGGGGCGGGGAAGTGGCCGGAAACTGACTGCCCGCTGCGCCTCATTCCACTACTGTCCGGGGAGGCGCAGCTCGCCGCCCAACAACTGCCAGTCAGCAGCCTCCTGGTCTACCAGGACCTCAAGCGTGCCATCTTGCAGCGGGTCGGTCGATCTCCGGAGCAAAGCCGCCAGCGGTTCCGTTCCCTAGAGCTGGGGGAGGTCGGCCGACCCTTCGTCTTCGCACAGCAGCTCCGGGACGCCTGCCGCAAATGGCTGGTGGCCGAGGGCCGCGACGTCGAAGGAGTCATCGAGCTGGTGGTGCTGGAGCAGTTTATCACCAAGCTACCCAAGAAAACCGCTCAGTGGGTCCAGTGCCACCGGCCGACGTCGCTGGACCAGGCCATCACGTTGGCGGAGGACCAGCTGGTGGCGTGCCCAGGGGTCGGCGAGCCCCAACCATCATCTTCTCTCTCTCTCTCTCTCTCCCCTCTCCCTCTCCCTCTCGCCCTGTCCCCGCTCCCAGGTCTCGAGGTGGATTTCCCCCGCGACCAGCACCCCGCTGGAGGTCCGGCCCGAGCACGGAGGCGCCCCGTGCTCCACCTCGGGGAGGATCCCTGCCCGGGAGCGTTCCGGCGTCCGCTGGCCCCGCGCTCTCCCAACGCCAATCCCTTGACCCGCTTCCCGCCGCCGGAGTGGCGGGGAGGCCTGGGCCGGCCTGTTGGCGTTGTGGGGACCCGGGGCACTTTATCGACAGGTGTCCATTGATGGAGGTGGACACCTTCATTCGGGTCCCCTATGCGCCACAGGCTGCCCCCGATCAGACTGGGCTGTATCAGATACCCGTGAGTATTAAGGGGGTTACGTGTCAAGCTTTGGTGGATTCAGGTTGTAACCAGACCTCCATCCACCAAAGCTTGATTCAGCCAGGGGCATTGGATAAGAGCCGCGAGGTTATGGTGCGGTGTGTGCACGGCGAGGTGATGGGGTATCCCGTCGTGCCAGTCATCATCCGATTTAGGGGACAAAAACATAGTGTGGAGGTGGCAGTTAATCCGCACCTCCGGCACCCGCTGATTTTGGGTACCAATTGGCCGGGGTTTCAATCGTTATTGGCTTGTTTGTGTGCGGGTGCTCCTGGGAAAAAACAACGGCACCGGGGGGGGGCGACTGTTCAGGCCGGCGAAGCTGTTCCGGGACCATCGGCGGCTGATCCAGAGGAACGGAACGGGCCGAGATACCCATCTTTTCGGTCCGTGATGATTTTCCTCTGGAACAGTCCCGAGATGATACGCTGAAAAACGCGTTTGAACGGGTCCAGGTCATCGACGGGCAGCCGGTGCGGCCCGATCAGCCGCTCACGTACCCATATTTTGCCATGATTAAAGATAGGTTGTATCGGGTGACTCAGGACATCCAGAAAAAAAAAAAGATACAACCCAGTTGTTAGTACCTAAAAGCCGTCGGGAAATGCTTTTCCAGGCGGCTCATTCTAATCCGATGGCTGGACACCTCGGGCAGACAGCCACGTTAAATCGTTTAATGGCCCGATTCTTTTGGCCGGGCATTCATGAGAATGTGCGCAGGTGGTGCGCGTCTTGTCATGAATGTCAGTTAGTGAACCCTCCGGCCCATAGTAAAGCACCATTGTGCCCCCTGCCGTTAGTCGAGATCCCCTTCGAGCGAATTGGCATGGACCTCATCGGGCCATTAGAGCGATCAGCACGGGGGCATCGCTTTGCATTAGTCCTGGTGGATTATGCCACGCGATACCCTGAAGCAGTTCCACTACGCAATATTTCGGCTAAAAGCGTTGCGAGTGCGCTGTTTCAATTAATCTCCCGGGTGGGAATCCCAAAAGAGATTCTCACCGATCAGGGCACGGCGTTTATGTCACGTACGATACGCGAACTATATGAATTATTGGGCATTAAATCGATTCGCACCAGCGTCTATCACCCACAAACCGACGGTCTGGTAGAACGATTTAATCGCACGTTAAAATCCATGATTCGTAAGTTCGTGCGGGAAGACGCCAAAAATTGGGATAAGTGGTTGGAACCCCTCTTGTTCGCTGTACGGGAGGTCCCCCAAGCCTCCACGGGGTTTTCCCCCTTTGAGCTTCTCTATGGACGCCAGCCCCGCGGGGTTTTGGATGTCCTTAGGGAGGCTTGGGAGGACGGACCTTCTAATAGCAAAAACGAAATTCAGTATGTCCTGGACCTGCGAACAAAACTCCACACTTTGGGGCGGCTTTCTATGGAGAATTTGTTACAGGCTCAGGACAGACAAAGTCGGCTGTACAATAGGGGGGCCAAGCTACGTAAATTTGCACCGGGAGATAAAGTGCTCGTATTACTTCCCACATCCAGCTCGAAATTACTCGCCAAGTGGCAAGGACCGTTTGTGGTTACACGGCGAGTTAATGATCTTAACTATGAAATCATTCGTTCAGATAGGGGGGGAGCACATCAGACATACCACCTCAACCTCCTTAAAAAATGGAATGAGGTGGAGTCAGCGATGCTGGCGACGGTGGTGAGTGGGGAGGAGGATCTCGGGCCAGAGGCGAATGTAAAAGTGCAATCCCGCCCTCTGGCCGCTTGTGGGGACCACCTCTCACCGTCCCAGATCGCTGACATCCAACAGCTACAAGCGGAATTCGCAGATGTGTTCTCACCCCTCCCTGGCCGAACGAATCTCATACAGCACCACGTTGAGACGGAGCCGAGCGTGGTGGTTCGCAGCCGGCCATATAGATTACCTGAACATAAGAAAAAGGTAGTTCAGGATGAATTAGCGGCGATGCTGGATATGGGGGTAATAGAGGAATCCAACAGTGACTGGGCAAGCCCGATAGTTTTAGTGCCTAAAACCGACGGCACCGTCCGGTTCTGTGTGGATTACCGCAAGGTGAATGCTGTATCGAAGTTCGATGCATATCCAATGCCAAGGGTTGACGAGTTACTCGATCGGCTAGGCACGGCTCGGTTTTATTCGACACTGGATTTAACGAAGGGATATTGGCAGATCCCCTTATCTCCAATGTCCAAAGAAAAGACTGCTTTCACGACGCCGTTCGGATTACACCAATTTGTCACCCTTCCGTTCGGTTTGTTCGGGGCACCCGCCACCTTCCAGCGCTTGATGGACCGGATTCTACGGCCGCATGCTGCATATGCTGCGGCGTACTTGGATGACATTATCATCTATAGTAACGATTGGCCGCGGCATGTGCAGCATTTGCGAGCGGTTCTCAAGTCGCTGAGGAGGGCGGGGCTCACGGCCAACCCGAAGAAGTGTGCGATTGGGCGCGTGGAGGTCAGGTATCTGGGCTTCCACTTGGGACACGGACAGGTGCGTCCCCAAATTGACAAGACCGCCGCGATTGCGACCTGTCCGAGACCCAAGACCAAAAAGGAGGTTAGACAGTTCCTGGGGCTGGCAGGATATTATAGGAGATTTGTGCCTGTTTATTCGGACCTTGCTAGCCCGCTGACTGATCTAACTAAAAAGGGGGCGCCAGATACCGTCCAGTGGACGGAGCAATGCCAGCAGGCTTTTACCCAGATAAAGGCAGCTCTGTGTGGCGGCCCGCTCTTACAGGCTCCTAACTTTGCTCTTCCCTTTTCCCTGCAGACAGACGCGTCGGACAGAGGACTGGGGGCGGTCTTGGCCCAGGAGATGGAGGGTGAGGAACGGCCGGTGCTGTACATCAGTCGCAAGCTCTCCAAGAGAGAGACGATGTACAGCACCATTGAGAAAGAGGCGTTGGCCATCAAGTGGGCTGTCCTCACCCTCCGCTATTATCTCCTGGGTCGGGAGTTCACCCTGTGTACGGACCACGCTCCCCTGCAATGGCTCCACCGCATGAAAGATGTCAACGCGCGGATCACTCGTTGGTATCTAGCTTTACAACCATTCAAATTCAGAGTGATCCACAGGCCGGGTGCACAGATGGCTGTGGCTGACTTTCTCTCCCGGAGGGGGGGGGGGGGAGGCTGCAGGCCGGACGGCTCCCCGGCCTGAGACGGGCGGTGGGGGTATGTGGTATGGGGGGCGTGGTTCAGCGCTGTCTGCAGCGGGAGAGCGGGGGAGGAGTCGAGCGGGAAGTAAGCGGGTCAAGTGCAAATGATAAACACCTGTCTGTGATTGCAGTGATTGGCGTTGGGAGAGTATATAAGCGGCTCAGTGAGACGCTTCTTTTGAGAGAGTCTGGAGCTTGTGTGCAGACACCGGGAGCTGGAAAGCTGTGAACAGAGGAACTGTCTGAAACCCAAGGAAGCTGTGGATCAGCGGGAACGAGTCTGTGATATTATTTTGTTGATGTTACGTTGAAGCGCGCAGTCGCTGTGGAAAGAGTATTTTTATTTGATCTGTCTGAATAAAGCACACAAGCTCCAGTATTTGCCGACCCCTTTGCCTTCTTCCATCACATCGTCTGAACCTTACCACATATCCATTAGCATTATAAATGGTAGACCTTCGGGAATGAATAGAATTATGCACAATACCCACAATCCCGAGCCGAAATTCGAGCCCTGGTCTTATGCATGACATTATCAAGACAGTCATTTTGGGTTATTATTTGTTGATCTAAAAGCAAAAGTGTCACAACACCCAGGATTTTTAAGTAGGCTAGTAGCTAGTAAGATAGTAACTATAGTAACAGCATGAGAAGACACGCTCCATTGTAGTGAGAAATTGGTCGATTAATTTTGGCATTTTCTATGTTAATGTTACTCCAATAGGCTAGTAATATATGAACACACATACAAAAATTTGGACTCGGTCAAGACCAAAAGCCATATTTGGCAAGACCAGTGGCCGACACCAAGACACGTCTGAGTCCAAATACCAGCGAGTCCGAGACAAGTCCGAGACCATAGAAAAACGGTCTCGAGTCCGGACTCGAATCCAAGACCGGACTTGAGTACTACAGCCCTGAATCATTTGCAGCAGCTGCTCTGCCACGCTGATACGTAGTACTTCCGGATTCAGTGATCTTTGTGCACTGCCACTTCCGTTGAATTACCGACCTCACTGGCGAACTGATGACAGACTACAAAAAGTTTATTTATACATATGTTTATATTATATTTATATTAGTCTGATTCACTAAAGTGCCGGCTGCAAATAAACGTGCTACCTTGTTTTGTTTTAAAGTTTTAATCCACTTCTTCCTTATACTCAATTCAGTCGGGAATCCATGAAAACTTAAGTAGGGTTGGCGTTGTTGGTTAGATTTACAAAGTGGAACAGAGCAGTGACATATATAGCCTTCGTCTCAGGCATTGTCGAACTGCGTCGGAAGTGGACAAATGAAAGTTTGAAAGTTGACAAATCCCGCCCATGAAACCCGAAAGCATGATAATCCCCTATTAGCATACAGTTAGGATTGGTGGTATGGTTGTTCTGGGCAAGAACTTCCTGCGCATCAATGCAGCCTAGCATGGATTAGAGCAGAGAGAGCAGCAATAAGCCCCCATAGGACAAACAGAACAGAACCAACATGAATGTATTGCAGATATCATTAATTTAAGATTTTAAAGTACAACATATTCAAAGAATTTATTCTGATTCAAAGGGTACTCTGAAGGCCAAATACTTACTGCACGAGAGGAGGAGCTGGGGATGGAGGATAATTCACTCCTGATAATACTGAAGGAGCTTTTATATGTATACAGTGATAGGCATCGTATTCTTATAGGTAGACATGGATCAGCTGAGAGTCAGCTGATGCGAGCTTGACTAACTGCCAGGCGCTACACTTAATTTCTGTCAAGACCACTATTGTCAAATACGATTGACAAGCAGCATACAGTTAGGATCGGCAGTATGGTTCTGTTCTGGGCATGGAGAGCAGCAATAACCTCCCAAAACAAAACCATATGCCAATTCCCCCAACACAAACTGACACCGAATTTTCTGGAAGCCCTTTTTTTTTTTTACGCACTACCCTCAAGGTAATACATCCTGATGTTAGTGGCATGTTAAGTGCTATATCCAATCTAGGAGGCATCACCACGAGCTGGAGCAAGCAAGGACACCTTGCAACATGAGTGTTTCTGTAGCCAATTTAACAGTGTATGGGATCTATTGGGGGATGCCTACACCCCTAGCGGCAGCAAAATCTGATACAAAAAGCATGTTGTAGTGAGGTCATCAGCTTCTGTGAGGACATGTGTGTCCCCATAGGACTTTTTTAACATACAACAACGATAAGCCATGGTTCACTGCAAAACTCTGGAGCAACTAGGGGTTAAGTATCTTGTTCAGGGACACACTGGTGTCTCACAGTGGATTTGAACCCAGGTCTCTCACACCAAAGGCATGAGTCTTATCCACTGTGCCATCACCACCCCACAAATTGTTGTTTATTTACAATACAATGTTCACGGTTACATCATGGATAATACAGTAACTAACCAAGTCTGCCACAGGACTCTACATCCTGCCATGGAACAGTTCCATGTGGAGACTAGGGGTGTGCAAAGCAGCCGGTATTTGTATCTGTATTTGTATTTGTTGAGGGGGGCTTTATGACTTGCGCTCCATGCTTTCACAGACAACACTTTCGTGAAGTATGGATCTCAATCACACGTTGCTGCTTGCTAGGACCCGCCCTGCTCTGCTTCTGATAGGCTTGTAACGTGTTAGAGCTACGTTCCTCTCATATGATTGGTAGGTGAAATCAATTGACTCGAAAACATTAAACCGCATGCAAGTTTACAATTTTTTTCCCCTCACGCCCATACGCCGGAGATCCGGCACGGTGCCGGAGTACTTTAAGCCCTCTAACCATCAGCACTGTGACAGCAGTCGAGTCATTCAGGTTCCTGGGCACTACCATCTCTCAGGACCTGAAGTGTGACAATCACATTAGCCGCTTTCCGACCGGAGGGACTTTTGCAGTTCCTAGAACCTAACGTTCCTATAACCCTTTTTTTCTCGTGTTCCGACCGAACTAAATTGGGGATTTTTTAGTTCCTCAGACTGTAGTTCCTATAACTCTTTCAGTACCTAGTCTAGAGCAAGGACTTTTTTAGTTCCCTTTCCCTAGGTCTACGTTGATTGGTTCAACTTATAAGCCATGCCCACTGTCAACACGGAACTTGTAGCGCGCTGTCTGCCATACGCTGTGTGTTTTTGCAAACATTACAACGAGGATTAAGACAAACATAACGCATTCAACCAGCTAATTGCTAATGCTAGCTAAACTTACCCGTCGTTTTGTTTGCCTCCTGCGCTCGGCTCTTTTATCTTCTTCCATCATATAATATCAAATTACGCTGGAGCCTTCGTCTTCTGTGTTTCTCTGTACAGAACTCAAGCATAATCTTTAAACGCCGCCGTTCGTTCTCCATTATTAAGGTCCCGGCAAGGCAGAATAGGAACATTGCAATAGCCTCCTCCATGCTGGTTTGTTGTTATTGTATGTGGCCACAAGACAGTCGCCGTGCTTGCATTACCCCTCCTACCAGTTCCTATGGCCACTCGGCCAGTGCGAACGCAAGCAGCAAAACTGAGTTTGGGGGTGAGTAGTTCTTAGAACTGTTTAGAAGTGGACAGTTCCTATAACTAAGTTCGTATAACTAAGTTCCTGTAACTACTTGGTCGGAAAGCGGCTATTGACCCCATTGTCAAAAAGGACCAACAGAGGTTGTACTTCCTTCGTCAACTGAAAAAGTTCAACCTACCACAAGCGCAGATGACTCAGTTTAACTCAGCTGTTATTGAGTCGGTTCTGTGCACTTCTATAACTGTCTGGTTTGGGTCAGCCAGCAAATCAGATATAAGAAGACTACAACGGACTGTTAGGACAGCTGAAAGGATCACTGGTGTACACCTCCCCAACCTTCAGGACTAGTACAATGCCAGAGAGAAGAAACGGGCAGGGAACATCATCACAGACCCCTCCCACCCTGGCCAAAACCCGTTTGCACTTCTGCCATTAGGCTGACGTTACAGATCTCTGCGCACTAGAACATCTAGGCACAAAAACAGTTTTTCCCCCATGCTATCTCCAGCTACCCAGTTTTCCCCCCATGCTATAAACAGCTAAAATAGCAATTAAATACATATACAAATTTTATTTATAGAGCTGTACAAACAATGCACAAATCTGTACATAAGATGTATACTAGAACTATTATTATTGTTTATTCTATTTATTTATGTTCTAATTTAAATGCCTGTTCTAATGTCATATGTATGTATGTACCAAGAGCTCCTGTAAAAAAAAAAAAATAAAGCTCATTCTGATTATGAATGTATAATCGCAATAGGCTTTCGGTTCTGTTTTCGGTACGCATTTTTGAACCGAATAGTTCGTTGGACCATTTTTCCTGCCGACCAAAATTTTGTTAATTCAAATTTAGACCCGTTGCGCATGGTGTCCATACATGGAAAACGAAGCATTGAGAACTTTGTAAGTGTACAGACCGTTTAATAAGAAGATACTTTATAAAGACAGTTCACTTCGTGTATAGAGACAGGAGACATCTTCGAAAACAGCCACTACAAGTCAAACCACAAATGTCGTGCTGAGTGAGCTGAACTGTATGAAGTTCAGTAAACTGTATGACGTTCGGGGATCGACTTATCAAGACTATTTTCTAAGATAGCTCCTGTCTGTATACACGAAGTGAATTGTCTTTATAAAGTATCTTCTTATTAAACGGTCTGTACACTTACAAAGTTCTCAATGCTTCGTTTTGCATGTATGGACCCTCATTATGTTACTGTGTTAGTGTGGGGCTATTTTGAGCCTTGTTAGTGGTATAAACTAGTGATTTCTTTTTACTTAGTAAATACCCCCAGTACTAGCATTATATGCTAAACAGTTTTTAGAGATAAAACTCTTTACATTTGATTATCATGAAAGCAAATCTCAGAGAACGATTGACTAGGTACCAATGTTTTATTAGACCAAATTTTCATTTTGCACCAGAGTTCTCCTTTTACTCTTCTGTTAGTGTCCATTTGCAAAAACATATAACTCCATTCTTGTTCATTTTCATACATCA